AGAAGCTGACAGCAAGTTAAAGCTGATGGACCTGGAAGTTAGGAGCAAATTTGGCCTTGGGCAGAAGTATGTAATTCCTCAGGTGGCTGTGAAAAGCAACCTGGGCAGCTGTGTTACCCACTGCAGTGTCAGTGGCTTCTGTTACCAATTTCTGAAGACCATATACATCTAAAATGAGAACCCCTAGGAGCGGGCAAGAGCTTATGGTCTGATTTCAAAGGTTGAAGCCCTCAGTTGAGCTTAATGTTTTTTGATAGATTTGTTTCTTTGGTAACCCCACACCTCCGCACCTTTGTACCAGCTGAAAGGGAAATTAAATGTATATTCTTCAACATCTTGGGCCACTGCTTTCCAAATACACCGACTTACCTGCTAAAAATTGGTTCAACCATCAAATTAAACAACTATACATCCATCTTTTGGTAAAGATAATAATAGTACAAAGAAAGCTATTATGTTGGGATTCAGATTATATCAAAGGACATATGCTAACTTTGATTACATTTTTTCTCTAGAATTAGAAATATGATCTGATAAAAGAAATTTCTGGCCTACTTCCGTACTATGTCCTTATTATTCCCTGCTGTGAAATGGTAACAATTGAATATTCCTTTTATCCTTTTTCTTAAACTTTTTTTCAAAAACTTTTAATTTATGAAAAAGATCCAGTGTAGTCTTCACTTTTCAGTGACGCTCCAGGACGCTTATCTGAAATATATCTTTTATTTCTTGTTCTGTGAAATTAAGTGTTGGAATTTATATATTCTAACTCTTCATTGGCCCTTGGTTTAGAAAGTTAATCTTATTCATTTGGATAAAATGTTTGGTGTTATATTCTTTTGATAAATTGTTCCTGGGTTTTTGTTTTCTGTTTAACTTTTAAAACTTTCTTTCAAAATCTCACCTTAGAGAACACCAAGAGTTCTCTAAATTATTTACCTGGGATTTGTATTGTTTAAATAAAAGGATCAATAATTAAGTTTAAAAATAATCAATAATTACTAAGCTATGTTTCTTCTAACCCTTAATAAAACATCTTAATGTTTTTCTTATTTTTTTGTATAAAAAGCATCCCCAGAAATCCACAGTGGAATTTAGATAATATTTTCCAATAGGAGTTATTCTTGAATGCCACAATTAAGTAGCCTTTCAATTACTTGTGCATTTTTAGGAACCAGAGCCAAGAATTCAAATGCTCATTAAAGCAGCGTTGTAGAAATACCTTTAAATTCAATACTCAAACAGGTATTACTTGATAATGCAGAAGAAATTGGAGGAGAGTTCATGAAAACAATTGGAAGATGTGAGGTATTCATTAGACATAATTTAAATAGCATATGAAGTGACTTCATGATGTTTAATCATTGAAATGTGTTTTTAATGTAGAATTTCATTGCAAATAAGATAATTTCCTTTAAAACAGCTGGAGAAAGATCTTTCTCATTATCTATTCTCAACTGAAAATAGTCTTAAACATAAGAATCCTGTTAGATTCATCCTTCATTTATTCAAGTAAAATCTTATTACTTGGACTTTACCACTTTATAAAGTGTTTAAAAATTCAGCAAACTTTTCCTTTGCTGAATAAACCATTTCCAAATAGAAAGTATAAAACACATTGCAATAGAAATAGTTTACTTCAGAGAATAAATATAACAGTCACTTGGTAACTGTTTATATGCGAGTTATTTACAACTGTCCATTTTTCTTTAAAAAAAAAAAGAAAATGTAGCTTTTTAAAAAATACACTCTGAATTCAAGCATTTTAATAGATAGTAAACTAGTCATTGTGTTAAAACTTGATCTTTCCCAAAATTCTCTGTCAATGGTCAAGCTCTGGATATGGTCAAGCTACAATGGAATTCTTTCATGGTTTTGCTTTATTTATTTGTTTTTTTAATAATTCTGCCTTGCCATTACAGTAATGGTTTCACTGCATGCTAGTGGACCAGTAAAATGTCAATTTTATACAATGTAAAAGATAGATAGAGAGAGAGAGAGAGAGAGATAGATAGATAGATAGATAGATAGATAGATATGGATAGATAGATATCTAGGTATATATATAGATATAGATATAGATATAGATATCTTTTTTGTCTCTTCATTTGTTCATAGGCATTTGGGTTGCTTCCATATCTTGACTATTGTCAAAGTGCTGCCATTATTGTGGGTGTGCATATAGATTGGGTATAGAAGAAGCCAAATTCTTAAATGTGTGTTGACATAGATATTTTTAACTGAATATTCTCAAGTAGTGTTAAACACCTGGCAACATTCTTAAGTTTTATATATATTTAACACACACACACACACACACACACACACACACACACATACACACATACACACACACACACACATAAAGTGAAATAAGCAAAATATATATTGGTGACTAAAAATAACATGGTTGTCTTTTTACTAAAAGAAAATGAGTTGCACTAATACTAACTTAATTTTAACCAATTGTTACCTTAAGAAGCATATTCATTAGATGGTGGTAATATTTTACATTCATAATAGCCCTAATATGTGTAGCTCCCAATGAACTATAATTGTATCCAAGTCTCATGCCTCCTTTTCTTTTTTTCCTAAATTTTCTGAATTAAAATCAGTACTATAGAAATGAAAAGGCAAGACTTAGAAAAGGTATAGAAAGGATTGTTATTGATTTCTCCCACATTGTTGTTGAAGGGATAGAAAAGAAAGTTATCTTAAGAAATTTGATTCACTCAGTTCCCTGAAGAATTTTTTTTTT